ATAATAACCAGGATCGAAATATCACGTAAGGCTTTTATGACGTGGAAACCAGTTTTATGCAACAGAAACCTCTCGATGAATATTCGTAAGAAAGGTCCTGAAATGTTATGTGTTACGTTAAAAACCACAATGCTAAACAAGTTAGAAGCATTTCGAATTGTGGTGCTATAGACGAATCCTAAAGATATCGTGGGTTTCGCACACTTCCAATGAAGATGTTCTTCAAATGATCAATCAGAACGTCTGCTCATAAACACCATAAAGCAGAGAAAAACAGAATACTTCGGCCATATAATTATAGGACCTAAATACCATCTACTTCGCCTTATAATACAAGGAAAAGTGGAAGGAAAGAGATGAATTGATCGAAAGAAACTTTCATGGCTGCGTAATATTAGACAATGGTGTGGTTCCACTTTAGAAGAATTATTTCGCGCAGCATCCGACAGAGAAAGGTTTCAGGAAATTGTAAACATGATGACGACCAACGTCTGAATACGGACACGGCACCCAAAGAAGAAGAAGTCACAGTAAAAGTAGCCCCCCTAATTTGAAATTATTTTAGAAATTTTTATTGCTTTTAGTTGTAACATAGTTGTTACATTGCTTGAAAAAAGTTGTTCTTTTGATTAAATGTTTGTAACAAAACAGGCCTTGAAATAAACCGCTTTCCTCGTTTCTAATACTTGAGAAACTTTGTGCTTTGAGAATCCTAACGGTCTCTTAACTTGTCACTTCGAAATATAAGTGGCAAATATAAGTGGCGAAAACTTCATACTGAGAGATTATCTTCTCTACCGTGAGCTACTAGCCCGCCACTTTCCCTTGAATATTGGATTACCCGAATGAATTTTATATTATAAAGTTGCCTACAACATTCTAAGTCTGCAGCCAATGCCATACCAAGGAAGTTAATATATCATTTATTATCCCAGATCTTCTCCGTCTATCAAATACCGTGGTAAATGATAAACTCTTTTAGATCTTCTAGGGGCTCCTGAAGGAGGCAATGATCTTCGTTGAGAATAAGTTGAGGGTCCTTCAAGAAATAATGAATCCTGTGGAGGGAAGGTTTTGTGCGGCTTTATAATTGATTGAGAATCATTGAGGTTCGAATGCAAATCATATGTGTCCTCTACCAACACTGATAGTTGACCTGATATATCTAGTATTTCTCTTTCACCTCGTTCAATTGGAGCGAGATAACGATTAGACACCATGGTCTCCCGTCCATATTTCTCGAAAAGAGACATCAATACATGCCCTGATTCTGCAAGCAATGACGGTATTGTTTTCTCATTTGTAGATCGACGTGTGTGCACGACCATTCCTTAATGCGGCGTATAATAAGTTGCAGTATAACAATAAACCAATGGCGCAACTGGTTGGTATTGGTCCTAAGTCTAAATAGGTGCTTCATATGGTTCACATGCTAGTTGAATAGCTTTCCATACAGTAAAATTCAACTTCTCTACTTGACCATTTCCTTGAAGATTATAAGCATGTTATTCTACTTGTTGCGATCCGCCTGAATTTGAGAAACTCATTGACTGAAGAAATTGAGTCTCTCTATTCGAATGGATATATCGAATGCATTCTAAAGATCATGAATACGTCTTTTAATTTTTAATTACTGTTTTGCCACTAATGTGCATAGGAAAGCAAATGGGAATCTGAAATAATCATCTATTATCGTAGGAATATAACGGTTATTGGCATTCGAAGGCATTGGTTGGTAAAGTCGATACTAAGCTTTGGAGAAGGCTCCTATTCTTAAAATCGTCTAGTAGCTCATAATTGACACTTACGAGTCATAGTTTTGGCTTCATCGAGAGAGAAAGATAAATTTTTTTAGGTAAAGTCCGGTGACGTATGTGTGTTACCCGTGGCTGAGATGGTGGCCGCGCAACAGCAGATGCGTGATAAAGTATCCACTGCTTGGTTTTGTTCTTCCTCGAGAAACTATGTCATATTTATAAGGTGCCGATTTAAGTCGTTATCTTTTTATATTTTCGTTTTTTTCTTTGATCTTGCTATAATGCTTAGTGTTGAATATAAATATTACAGACTTTTGATCAGTGATAACTGTGAAAGATGTTTCTCTAAGAAAATTGCGCCACTTTTTTAGAGATTCAACGATAGCGTGCCCTTCTTTCTCCACAGTAGAATGGAATAGCTCACTAGAGTTAATCGATTTTAACAAGAAAGGGCCGGGAATCCTGACTCAAGGTTGCAGCAATCGAGTGTTCTGAATCGTTCGAATTTCAACAACAAATGACATATTTTCGTTGATAGCGTAAATGGCATATTTCGTTCTAGATTATCCATAAAAATATCCGATAGCAATAGGATTACCCATTTGAAACAAAGATTTCAAAACATCCCGTATTCAAACAGTTTTTATATTGATAAAGATACTTAGACGATGTACTGGTCTGCTTTACAGTAAATAACAGGCAACTTGGCTAATTCTTATCTTATATTAATTCACTCCATAGTAATATTGAATTTACAATTGAAATAGAACAGAATCAATCCATAAATTTTCTAGATTTAAAAATTATCAGACTTAAAAATAAATATGAGTTCTCCGTATTTCATAACACTACCCGTCACAACCCAACATTCCAATCATTTGTATATCTTGTTCTTTTAAGCATTTGTTCCTTTGAGGGCATCGCTTAACTCTCCGGTTGTTATCTCAATTATTTGTGTATGTTCGGATATTTCCTTCCCTTTCGGTCTCTTGGAATTTACATCTATCCTCTGTCAGTAATATCTCATAATGCTGTTTCCACTGTTTCAGATCTATTAATTTTAAGTTAGATTTTTCCTTTCCTTCCCTCCGGAGAGGACTTTATCACCTTCCACGCTTGCCCAACTCTTGTTCCACCCATATACCTATCCACCTTGCACATCTTCGATCCCACATCTCATTTTTACTTTTCACTACTTCTCTTTTTACATCTCGATTTAATTTTTTATATATGTATATCTTCTTCCTTTCTTGTTGACATCCATTTCTGATAAGCAGTTTTCGTCTTGATCACTAACGTTTGGATATTCTCCGACCACCATTCTTAATTTTTTGTTTCATGTTTAAGTTGCTGATATAATTCTTCCGTTGATATATTTTCTCGATCCACATTTTGTAATTTGTGGCCAGTCGTAATTTGTAAAGAAATTTTGTTGAATCTTCTTTTAAGCTTTATATTTAGGTTATACCATTTAGGTTATATTTAGGAGATGTTACTTCTTGTCTTTTTTCTATATTCTGTACCAGAGCGCTATTGTTTTTGCGATAGTTAACTATAGCGGGTATAGAGGGCACTATAGTTGAGGACATTGAGAAAAAACAGCTCATATGGTATGGGCATGTGAGCCGAATGGGGGACAAAAGATTGCCTAAAAAAACGATGATGTGGCAACCCCCAGAGAAGAGGAAACGAGGAAGACCACCACAGATCTGGAACCTGGGAGTTAGGAAAGCGATTAGCGCTCGAAATCTGGACGAAGACCTAACTCAAGACAGAATACAGTGGCGTTTGGGAGTCGTAAGACGTTATAAAACCGAATATATATATATATATATATTATATATATATATATATATATATATATTATATATATATATTATATAACTATCACGTTGGCCATAAGTAAAGGATGGTCGGATCCACATTGTCGAGTTGTGTTCATGTAAATTTGTGGATGTCTCTATGTTGAAAAAAGCCATTCATAATTTGAAATTCATTCTTTCACAAAAATCTCTAAGACGCATTCCGTTGTCATTGGTTATTTGTTCCCCTTATCTTCCCACGACTCTGTTATTTTCTTCTCTTCCCTACTTTGCCGTTTAAATCTCCTAGTATAAAGATTTCACAGTTTTCTTTAATTTCAGAGAGCATTTCATTCATATTGTTGTAGAAATCGTCTTTACTTTCTGGATCTGCATCTTCATTTGGGACATACACTCCGACAATTACGGTGTTGTGTCTATTCTTTTTCATTTCCAGTATTAGCAGTTATTCATTTACTTCGGTCCACGATTTAATATTGCTTTTAAGATTTTTTCGAATGGCAATAGAGACTCCTCTCTTAGCTCTGTTGTATGTTGTTGAATGGATGAGAATAGACTCCCAAAAATTGCCTTAGAAAACAATCCGCCCTGTTCAAGATCTCCCGGAAGACCACCTAAAAGATGGAGGGATAGTTGGCAATCTACTCCCAGGAAAATAACCAGAGGCAGCTCCAGAATTAAACAGATCGAAAGGTCTCCAAAAAGTAGAAGAGGTGAGAATACATACATCTATTTTTCTTTCCGCTAATTCTTTGAATACTTCTGTTTATTTCGTTCTAAGTCCTTGTACTGTACATTCTGTGTAGCCAATATCATTTTCTTTTTCCGTTGCATTAGTCGTCTTTGTTTTGATCCATCCTTTGTATTCCGAGGCTTTTGGTCGAAATTTTTAGCATTTATTTCTTTTGACAATGGATAAGTTGCTAGCCCATCGCCACAAGCCTCCTCCTTTCTCCAGGCTTGGGACCGGCACTGGAATTTACTGAGCTACTCAATCTACTCAGCACTTACCGGAGCCGGAGGCAATACACAGGTAAACTTCTTAACTTCACAACATTTTAGCGGCAGACTATATTAAAATACACATTTTATTTGAGCCTTCCGTGCGGTAAATTTCCTTAAAATTTTTATTTATTACTCAATTGTGAAAAGATTATACTAATTAAACGACAACTGTAAAGAACTGTAAATGTAGAGTTGCATTATTATGATGCATTTTATTACTTGTATCGTCATGTAGATTAAACATAAATACTCTTAAATAAATTACTTTAATGTTTTCCTTACATATATACATTTATTTAAAATACGCCTTTAAAATTTAAGACAACCTGTATGCAAACATTTCTTGGCAAATAGCAAATGAGTCGACTCATACCGAATATCCTCGAACTAACTTAGTTTGATCGAATCACAACAGTACGCGCCAAACTCTCATACAAATCAAAACTTTCGGTGTCAAGTTTTCAAAAGTGTCAGTATCCGTTTATTTTCGCAAACAAATCTTGAAAATATGGTTAACTCTCCTGCAATCGGCATTGATTTGGGTACAACGTACTCTTGTGTGGGAGTATGGCAGGGAGGTAAAGTAGAAATTATAGCTAATGATCAAGGTAACAGGACGACACCAAGTTATGTGGCTTTTACCGACTCAGAACGTTTAATTGGAGATGCGGCGAAAAATCAGGTCGCTATGAACCCGAACAATACAGTATTCGACGCAAAAAGGCTAATCGGAAGAAAATTCGACGACCCCAAAATCCAACAAGATCTAAAACATTGGCCGTTTAAAGTCATCAACGACAACGGAAAGCCGAAGATACAAGTTGAGTTCAAAGGTGAAATGAAAAAGTTCGCTCCAGAAGAAATAAGTTCCATGGTTTTGACTAAAATGAAGGAAGTAGCCGCTGCATATTTAGGAAGAGACATAAGAGACGCTGTAATAACAGTTCCGGCATATTTTAACGACTCGCAACGGCAGGCTACCAAGGACGCCGGTACAATTGCAGGTTGGTACACATTATTGATTTCTCATAGTTTTTAAAATAATCCTTGCATGTCCTTTTGCAAAAGTCGTCCGTAAGTGGGTGGTCATGTTTTATGCATCATATGTAGGCATGGGTGGAGAGTTCGAGAATGTTTTTGTTTGTGTTTAATGAAGCACGATGGGAACTCAATTATTTGCTTTAGTGCGATTCAGCGAGCTCGAAATTGGAGTAGATTTCATTTGATTACCGTAATGATTAGCAATTAAGTAACGAACGATTACATATCCGTTTTAGTTAAAAGACCACTGACCTATGATTTTTTTAAATGCTCATCAACAGACAAAAAAGAAATTTTATGAAATTTACGAGTATTCTATAATTTTTTTGTAGTTTTTCTAAAGTATTTCTACAATACTTTTGTTATGTTTGTCTGTCGTTTGTCATCAGACTCGGACTGGCCCACCAACACTCTAGGTTGGCATCTTTGTTAGTATCTATCCATAAAAAAATTTACGCTGCGAAAATTTTGGAATCTTTATATCAATGTGGTCCAATATGTTGTTGGTTATTGGTTGATAATTCCATCATCAGGTTAAAAGCCTAAAATAAGTATGAACCCTTTAATTTTTTTTATTATTGAGTTAATGCCTCGACAACTATGATCATTGGCATGGTACAGTAAGGTACCTAGTGTAGTGTAGTGTGTGTGTAGTGTAATTGTCTTGATACTTAGCAAAGTCGACGTCATTGTCTTTGCTAAGAGACGCTAATTGTATCCGAACGTCTGCGGTCCCTCCGATGAGTACCGATCGCACAAGGATAGAAATTATTTTCATTCATTAATTTTTAATAAACGAAAATTTCTTCACCCAGATGAGATTCGAACTCACGACCTTTAGGTTTAAAGGTATGCGCTCTTACCACTGAGCCACAGAGGGGGTTGAACCATTTAATTAAATCAAACGTGATTGAAATGTTGACTAAGGTTAAAAAAGCAAACTGGTTATACTTACAGGTTAACATGCCTGACCACCAAAATATTAGGGTAAAAACCCTTTACAGTAAATAAAGTTACCAAAGATTGTACATATTGTTGTTAAAATTAATGATGTTTAATATTTTATTAGATTTTACCTCAGGCAACATACAACCATGCCTTACGTGAGTACCAGCGTCCGGAGGGTAGACCTCTTCAAAGGGACTTCAGCTGGTAACTGATTGACAAGATACCTATGAACGGTGTCGAAAACAAAATGTCAATGCACCATGGAATAGTGTTAGTTATAATATTACTGCAGCCAAACGATTCAAAAGCTTTAGTGATGTTAAAAATGATAACAGCAATACAAGTATTGGGATTTAAAAAGTTTTTTATTATTGAATTTTGGATATGAAAGATGTAAAATTACCGATGTAGTTAAAGTTCATGTTTAAGAGAATGACGTATGCATTAGGCAGCCTATGTTACTATTTTTCGTATGGAGTGTGGTCTAAAAGTGTAATTTGTGACTGATTTGCTTAGATATATAATATTGTCATTTATGTTGATCACATCTAGGACAAGGTAAAATTGAATTAAATATATTTGTAGCGAATATAAGACTTCGTTTTTAAATAGTAACTACACAATCTTCGATTTGTTATTCTTAGCTTTTCTTAGGGCTAGTTTTATTTCGTCCATTGTGATTTCCGGTAGTAGTTCTGATCCTTGGTTGTCAATTCCCTTTTTTCTTGTTAGTATTTCTGGTACTTTCCATTATTTATTCACCATCATCATCATTGGCTTTTACAACTCTTCGTGAGTTTTTGCCGCGTTTACTATTGCCTTCCATTGATTTCGATCCTGTGCTATTATTTCCCATGGCCTTACTTCCATCTTCTCCAGGTCTTCCCTGACTGCGTCTTTCCACCTTTTTCTAGGCCTTCCTGTCGATCTTCTACCATCTGGTCTTTCCCAAAACACATTGCTAATCAGTCTGTTGTCATCACTTCGTACCACGTGGCCTGTCCATCTTAATCTATTGGCTTTTATATATCTTACGATGTTTCCTTTCCCGAAGAGAGTCTCTATTTCATTGTTGTATCTGCTCCTCCATTCATTTGTCACGCTGTCCCTGCAAGGACCATATATAATTCGCAGGATTTTGCGTTCCCATACTAATAGCTTATTAATTTCTTTCTTTCTTAATGTCCATGTTTCACTTCCATATGTCTACTGCTGTCGTATTATGGTTTTGTACATTTGGACTTTGGCACGCCTTGAGAGAAGCTTTGACCTCATTAGATGTTGAATGGCAAAGAATGATTTATTCCCCGCCAGTATTCGTATTTCAACCTCCCGTTCTCCTGTGTTTTCACTGGTAATTGTTGCTCCTAGGTATTTGAATTCTTTGACCACCTCAAAATTATGATCGTTTATGGTGATGTTTTGTCTTATTCGCTGTCGTTCCTTTTTTGATACGACCATGTATTTAGTTTTTTCTTCGTTTATTTTCAGGCCTACGCTTAGTGTTGCTTCTTCAAAGTTCGATACTATATCCTTAACTTCCAGTGTTGTTTGTGCTACTGCATCTACATCATCTGCAAATGCGAGAATAATCTTTGCACCTCTGGCAGTTATGTCTGGTTTGGCTCTGGTATAGATTTTTCGCATTGCGTATTCCAATGCTAGGTTAAATAGTAATGGGGACAGCGGGTCTCCCTGTCTGAGCCCGGTGCTTATGCCGAAAGCCTTTGAAGTTTTGCCTCCTATTCTAATTTGTGCAAAGGAATTGTTGACACACATTCGCGCAATTATGGTCAGCTTCTTTGGTACGCCTAACTCCATCATTGCACCCCACAGTTTTAAGCGATCTATGGAATCATATGCTTGTTTGAAATCTATGAAGATCTGGTGTACTTCTTTATTATATTCCCAATACTTTTCTAGCATTTGTCTGATAGTAAATATTTGGTCGATTGTTGATCTTCCAGGCCTAAAGCCGCATTGGTAATCGCCATAATTTCCTCTGTATATGGCAGTAATCGTTTTAGTACAACTGAAGCTAATATCTCAATATCCATTATTTATTGCTGCTCACAAAAGACGCAAACTTGTATTTTCCCGTGAATACATCAATTGGACAATAGACGATTGGAAAAAAGTATTGTTTAGAGATGAGTGTAGAATATCAGTTTATGTTAAAGATAGTCAAAATAATGATTACAGAAAGGCTGAAGAACGTTATGTTCCTGCACTCGGTCACACCGGGTTACTTTTGGTAGTGCTAAGTAATGTATTTCTTTTGAGGATCACACAAGGATCTCGTCTTGATTTAGAGGGGCGCATTAACAGCACACTGATACATAACGGAGATCCTACAACATTATGTGATGCCATATGCCATACAATGTTCTACACGTAATATACTATACGTTTTAAACTTATTATACATTCAGTATTCTGTTGTATTATAGTATAATCAATTTTAATTTCAAGGGTGTGATTTTATAGATATATAAATATAAAGTTTATGAATAAACGCAACAAATAACCAGGCTATTTACCAACCGGTAGTTCATTACCAAGAATGTATTGGAATATAGCCAAATTGTAAAACTACAATGAATCATAAGTCAGATTATTAAGTGTTTTGTTGCGCATCAAAATAAAGTATATAATTAAATTTTTATTTTTATTATGATATTATATTCTAGCACTGTAGGTAGAAAAATAACTATTTATAGGCACACATATATGTATTTGAAGCAGTGAAAACAAACAATATATGGACAGAAATACCTGATTTTATTATCGCCTTGAATTTGTATCTTGTCGCTTACTACAAGATTTGCCATACTCCCTGCATTGCATTAGTTTTTTTTTATCAAGAATTTTATCAATGTAAAAAGGAACAAAAATATAAAGATCTCAGAAGAGAAGAAAAGTACATTCTTCGAAGAAAAAAGTAAACTTATGAAAATAGAATATTGGAAGAACTAGAGGCATTAAAAAAGGAAATTCAAACAAGAAAATTCTATAAAAATCTAAATTATGCAAGAAAAGAATTTAAACCAAGGATAAGGGAGGTATATACTCAATACAAAAGAAGTATTAAAAAGATGGGTGGAACACTATAAAGAACTACTTACTATCGAAGTAGAAGATCCAAATCAACCACCCCCAGGAGCAAGCAACAATACACGATTGGAGCCGCCTGAACTTATTAAATGTGGAGGTGCTACTCTAACTAATCATATTATATAAAATCATACTGAGAGCCTTTTTTTTCGTCTTTATAGAGGGGGGTCTGGAATCTTCAAAAGACATCTCAGTCCAGGAAGCCGCCTGACTAACCTTAGTGCAGGATTCGTTCTTCGTACTCCCGGCGATAGTTCCCGAGGTACTTTAAAATGCCCTCTCGTCGCCGAGTCCACGCCGAACGCCTACCTGCTAAACCAGACCCTCCTCTGTCATCCAGCGATCCGGAAGCGGAATGGCCGCTGTAAGGCCGCCATCACTTCCGAAGCACTACCTTTTATTCATTCATTCTCCATTCATACACATCCACATTGTTTCACATACACTTACTTGTTTCTTAGGTGTTAGACATACTCCCGCACATTTTAATTCAACACCTTGCCTGTTCCTTGTCCCCTTCAGAATGATGGCTTCGGTTTTCTCTGTCGCAAGTTTTAGTCCGTGCTGCGTCATCCATTTCTTTACGACGCCACCTGCGTTCCGAACCTGGTATTTGAGATCTGGCTCATCCTGGGCTACTACCAGTACAGCGAGGTCATCCGCGAATGCGAAGGGGGTTGTACCTCTCCGTATTTACAGTACATAACCCCGTCATATGCCAGATTCCATAGCGTCGGGCCCAGACAGATCCCTGGCGGTACCCGGCCGTCACGTCCACGATCGTGTCCTTTTCCACCATAATCCTTCTCTCGGACAGATACTCCGCCACAACATTCATCAGGTAACCAGGACATTCTCTCTCCTCCATTGCCTTCATTACCTCGTTCTACTGCAGCGTATT